GGGAATTTCAACAGATCAAGTGCCCAGAAGAAATGGTTCTCTTCCCTCTTGTGCCAGTCCTGGCAGTCTTCATCGTGGCACCTTCCTTCTGCCTTGTGACAAGACGGGTTATTTCTTTCGGAAGGGGTCAGGTTCAGGAGCCAACTTCACCCTCTGTTCACAGACCCACCTTTGGCCCCTGGAATGCCAGGGGGCCCCCGTGGCCCTTGTGGTCCTGGCAAGCCTGGACTCCCCCGCACAATGGCTATTGTATTGTTGCCATCCAGGCCCAGCGCCTTAAGTTCTGCAAAGGAAGGAAAACATTTGGAGCCCAAAAAAGTGCTTTTTTTAGAGCTATGCTACATTTCCCATCTCTGAAGGAGAGCAGAAGGCCACTGTCCCTCCTCCTCAGAGCCAACCTGCCTGCTCCTCACCTGGGAGGGGGGATTCCTGTGCCCCTCGGTGGATTGCGATCATCAGGCAGAAGAGGAGGAGACCCACTTGCTCTCCAGCTCTCCTCATGGTGCCCGCTGGACTCCGACTGCAGCCTCCCCTGGACCCTCTGCTTTTATTTGGGCAGCCGGCTTTTGTCCCTTTTCCTTTTAATCGGGGACTTTGGGGAAAGAGTCAGAACACCAGAATGTTTCCTTGTTGATCAAAACACACCTCTGTTAATTAAACAGCAGATGGGTAATCCTTCATTTTAAAGGGAGGATTACTGCATTTGTCAATCGTGGCAACTTGGTCAGTTATAAAAATAAGCCTCTCGAATCCATTGTTAATGAAGGCACACTTTACTAAACCAAGTGGTGAGAGAAGAAGCAAAACCGGATCTGGGTTTTTTATGGTTTTATGGTTATCTTTTCCCACGTTCCCACCAGGGGTGGGTTCCACTTACCTTTACTACCAGTTTGCAGCGGGAGCGCACGCACTTCTGCACATGCGCAGATCACCCATCGTGGCGGGTGGGCAGAGCCTCCCCCGGTTTTACTACCGGTTCTATACAACTGGATCGAACCAGAAGCAACCCACCACTGGCTCCCACCTTCCACCCTGGTTACCTTTAATGTCCAATTAGATTTTAACAAATTGTTTGGGTAATGTTCCCTGGCGAGTCTAGGACTTTTTGGCTCAGTCTCTTCGCCTTGCCTGTTTTGCCTTGAGGTTTTCGCCTCTGGGTTATTAGCCACAAACTTTTCTCCTCGGCTGGCCTTCCGCCAGTCTTTCGCCCCGGCACAATGGCCATGGCCACTCCCTCCCAGGCGCTTTGCCGCAGCCCATACACAGAAGGAGGTTTCATCCTAGGTTTTTCGACACCTGGGACAGTTAGGGCCCAACAAATCAGCTAGAAGCAAGAAGGCAAGGAGAAAGTTTGGTCAGGTTGTGAATCCCGTGGGGAAAAAAAAGTTCTGATTTCAGTCCCAATTTAGAGAGATCTTTGCTATAATACCCATCCAGAAACGAGCCAGCCGTTGCTTCTTTTCTCAGCCTTTGGGCTCTCCTGGAAAAGCCACTAGAGAATTTGGCCACAGATGTTGTCTTTGAGAAGTCTGGCCCTTCCAGAGGTGGGTTTCAGCAGGTTCTGACCAGTTCTGGAGAACCGATAGCGGAAATTTTGAGTAGTTCAGAGAACCGGTAGTAAAAATTCTGACCGGCCCCGCCCCCATCTGTTCTCTGCCTCCCAAGTCCCAGCTGATCGGGAGGAAATGGGGATTTTGCAGTAACCTTCCCCTGGAGTGGGCTGGGAATGGAGATTTTATAGCACCCTTCCCCTGCCATGTCCACAGAACCGGTAGTAAAAAATTTTGAAACCCACCACTGGGCCCTTCTGCATCTGAGGCCAGGGACGGGCTACCTGTACAAAGCCTGACTGTTCCTACACAGTGTTGTGAACTACTCATGAGATAAAAGTGGCCCAATGTGTAAAGATACAGCATGCGTAAGAGCAAACATCCCTAAAAACCACTGGGGGAGAATTATGCAAAATTGGCTGCTTTCCGCCATTCCTGTCTGTTTTCCCCACTGCTTTCATCCTCAGCCAGCAGAACTTCAGAAACAAGAGGTGCAGCTCAGGGGTGGGTTCTAAATTTTTTTAGTACTGGTTCTGTGGGTGTGGCTTGGAGGTCATGTGACTAGGTGGGCGTGGCTAGCTGGTCAGAGTCATTTCTGGAAGGTCCTCACACTTACGACCCGACTCATTTGTTTGCTTTTAACACTGATCAGCTGTAGGACGGCCCTTTGAAGCCCCGCGGCAAGAGTTTAAACAGGTTTTTTCCCTCTAGTCATCAGCTGGGACTCAGGAGGCAGCAGTAGATTGGGGGTGGGACCAAATAAAAGGTAAGAATAACGTGGGGGGTGGGGGGAGGGCGGGGGGGAGAACCGGTTCGGTGACATCATATCGACACCGCTACCGGCTCGGCCGAATCAGACCGAACCGGGAGGAACCCACCACTGGTTTAGGGGGCTGTAATCCAAATAACCAATCAATATTATCTGTTATGCATGCATTATTAGGGGAAGGGTTGGATGTGACCATCCCTTGACTATAAAAATTGCTGTAAGATTCTAATCTGGGCCCTTGGTTAGCTTTTCGAACCAGGGTCCTTATATCTTGGTACCAAAATAAAAGTATAATTCTGTATCACACCTTGTGTCCAGTGACTTATCGGCTTCGACAGCAAGCAAGAGCCCAGTTTTGGGGACAACACAATTATCGTCCACATAACTATACCTGTGAGTGGGTGGGATTCCTGGGAAGGAGTCTAGGGCAGGGGTCTTCACCCATGGCAACTTGAAGACTTGTGGACTTCAATTCCCAGAATATCTCAGCCAGTTTGCTGGTCTAGGGCCTTGGTTTCTTCCTCTTCCATGTAGAGATTGGCCACAATGGGGCGGGGGGACACAGGTGAATCAATGGCACAGCCATGTTTCTATCTGTAAAAACCTTCATTGTTTTTAAAATAGGTAGCAGTCAAGCAGATGTCCAGCATGGCACACATGCAGCCTGGGCTGAGGTTGGTTCTGTCACCTAAGGTGCTGTCTGGTAGCAGTTGTTTCTCCACTATTGTTAATATGGGAATATTAATATGGATAATAATGGATTAATATGGATAAATATAGAGGGGATAAATATTGAGGGGATATAATAAAAGGATGGGGTGTCTGTTTTTATATTAACAATCGATAGTGAAGAAAAGTTATTGCACTAAATAATTTTTGTGATGTGAACTTGGAGATGCTATTCATTAATTGCAAACCTTTTTATGTCCCATGAGACTTCTCTTCATTTATATCAGTTGGGGGTCTACCTAACACCCCATGTCTGCATAAACTATGCATTGCAAATCTAGCTGACCAAATTCTGTGGAGTGAGCAGAGATATCTAAACTCCTCCTCATTGTCTAAGGGTGCTAATCTAAGCCAGGAGCTACCAAGAGCACATCAGCTGTCTCACTAGAGGCAAGGATATTTCAGACCACTGACACTCAACTCTAAAAGATGTCTATCGCTCTCTGCCAAGAGCACCTGTGGGGCACTCTGCCCATTGTATGATTCACCTTGTACCTGTTTATAGACAGAGACTTAAAACCATCAAACTGTAAGAAGTTAGCACCCACCCCTTTCCTAGAGGAATGAAATATTTTGGGAAATATTAAAAAGGCAGAATATTATGTTTCCCTGAATGAGAAACGGAGAAGCATGTTTTAAAGACGAAGCAGCTCCCACCTTCCTGCTCCCACCCTTTGTCAATGGGCCAGAGGCAGAAACTCAATCTTTGACAATGGACCATCATCTGCAACACAATAGGACCCATCTAGGACAGAAATTCACCACATGGTACCTGGGAAGATTACATCAGCCAGCAAGGCTAGCTAAGAACCCCGTCCCCTGGGAGTCTGACAACCAATCAGAATATTCTTTCGGGGCCCCAGGAAGTTCAAAGCCAGAGAGGGCATAAAACCCAGGACTCGCTGCGTCTCGCCCCTTTTCTGTTCAGCAACTCAAACCATGTGATCCTGTCCACCATTAAACCATCTTTCCAAGCAGTCTCCATGTTTCCAGGGTCTTTTTCCCCACTTGGAGCTGAACCCAGAAGGATATTTCTTCCCACAAAACTATGCTTAAAACTGAAGTTTGCAGATGATACAACAGCCATAGGTCTCACCTGAGGCACTGATGAGTCTGCACACAAACAGGAGGTTGAACACCTGGCCCTGTGCTGCAGCTGGAACAATCTGGAGCTGAACATGCTTAAAACTGTAGAGATGACAGTAGATTTTCGGAGGAGCCCTCCTATTCTAATTCCTCTTACAATATTAGACAACACAGTATCAATAATAGAGACCTTCAAGTTTCTGGTTCCTGAAATGTCCCAGGACTTGAAACGGACACCTAACATTAGAAACATCATTAAAAAGGCACAACAAAGAATGTTCTTCCTGCGTCAACTCAGAAAGCTCAGAAGACTGCTGAAGGAAGGAACGATGGAGTCTGTCATTTTTACTTCTATAACTGTCTCGTTTGGCACAGCAACGGATTTCAACGGATAGGTAGGACCGCAGAAAAAACAATCGCAACGAGCCTGCCTTCCATTGAGGACCCGTAGACTGCATGAGCCAGAAGGAAGGCTGAGAAAATATCTACAGACTCCTCACAGCCTGGACATAAACTGTGCCAAACCTTTTGGGGGGGGGTGGGGGGGGCTCAGAGCCCTTCCTTTGCCAAAGGCTGGCAGATTTTATCCCCTTGGAATAAAGGAGACTTGGAGACCGTCCGCTGGGTTGCAGATCATATTTTTATTTATTTATTTAACATTCATGGACCGCCCAACTCCAGTAGAGCTGAAGGGGGACAAATGGAAAAGCCCCCTCCGGCCCCCAACTCTGCAAGATCATGTAATCATGTGAATTTTGTAAAATGCAAGCTCTCTACCAAGGTAGCAAATCGAAACCAGAGGGGATGGACTAGATGCCCTTTGGAAGCCCTCAGAAAGAAAAAGCCCCTTCAGCTGAAGGAGCCGCCTAAGCCACAGGCCGGATTTTCATTTCGGTGTGCTTGTAGGAGTAGTGGTAGCCTTTTCCGGTATTCCAGTTGATGCCATCGGCAAAGGTCTTATGTTCTCCCAGCCAGTATTTCCCGTTGAGGTTGGAGTAGTGGCAGGCATTGTACCACCAGCCACCTTTGTACTTCTCAGCACAGTTGACGCTCTTGAGGTTCAGCCGCTTTTCCCAGGTGGAGAAGGGCATGTTGTTGTGGTAGGAGAGAGAGTCACCTGGGAGGCAGAGAGCAGGGTGGGTGCCTGGAAGGCCAGTCCAAGCCATCTCCAGGACATCAGCCTGCCAGGGAGGCATTCATTGGCTTGACTGGCACGGCCCAATTCCAAGAGGCTCATGGAGAAGGATGCTAAGGCCCCCTGGACTTTGCCAGGGACTCACCTGCAGAGCCCCCCGTGAAGGCGCCCAGAGTTAGCCGATACCAGTTGGATTCTTCCGCCACCTGGAAGGACGCATATTTGGCGAAGGAATGCTTATTGTCAAAATCAATCAAGTCGACACGCAACTCATTCTTTCCTAGGAGGAAGAGAACTGCTCAGTCATCAACACTCACAATCCTGAACATATGTTTCTCTGGTGCTTCCTCCATCCGCAGAGGGGGCTGAGGGCCCCCTCAAAGTTCTTCCCAGTGAGGGCCCTGCTCCCCTCTCCCCTGGCAACAGGAGGGTTCAGGGCTGCAAGGGGAAGCCCCTCACCCAGCGAGGTCAAACGGTGAAGGTTGTTGTTCCCCAGCCAGAATTCGGTCAGCTGGCTTCCAAATCCCCTCTTGTAGGGTTCCCAGTCCCGGAAAAAGTCCACCGATCCATCCAACCGCCTTTGGAAGACCTGCGGGGGAGAATCGGACCCTTAACGTTTCCTTCGGGCAGGTCCCGAAATCAAAGGCTTTCTCTCCCCACACCTCTTCCTTCCCAAATTTTAGCGATCTCAGAGCTGGCCTTCTCCAGTGGGCCAGTGAGCTGGCCTTCACCAGTGGAGAAGTGCTGGACCCCTCCTAGGATCCCTCCGTCCCCCATCCTGGCCTCAGGAAAGACTCGGTTTCTGCTTCATTCCATTCCTGGCAAGCAGCAAAGTTACCATCCTGGGTCTGTCTGCCGTGGGGCATAACCCCCTTCCCCAGGGAAGGCTCCCTCCAAGGCATGGCGGTCAGAAGCGCCTTGGCCACGCCTGGGTAGAACCATCCTCTGCCAGACTCACAATCCATCCGCCTCCGTCGGTGTCCATGTTGCACAGCACCTCCAGGGACTGGCACTCCTGGGGGTAGATGGTGTACCAGCCGCTCAGGACCACTCCTCTTTTCAAGAGCTCTTTGCAGTTTGGGGCACCTGGGCAGAAAGAGGGCAGGAGAGGTTGGCGCTCTCTGTGCCAGGGTATTCGCCAAAGGGTCCGGCCCATGATGTGGTTAGATCTGGACTGTGGGGGTGCCCTCAGGACAGAAAGGGGCCAGCCCCAGCCCATCCGAATGCTCCCCCTTGACGCATCCCCAAATGCTGGGGAGGGCATGGGGGAAGGATGTGGTGAACCCCAACTTTTCCCTGGGCGTCTCTCTTCTGCACTGCAGTTTTTGGGAGTTTTGTGTGCCTGAAGGGCCTGGCGGTGCTTGCCCTGGGTAAACTAAGCCCCCCACTCTCCCAGATCTTTGAGAGGGAGGGTCCTTGGGTTGCATACTGATAAGTACAATACGGTATGGAAGGGGTCCCTAGACAGCAGGCATTCCCAGGAAGACAACTGGAGCATCAATTGATTTTTATTTCTGAAGTGTTGGAGATCAAATGAACCCCAACTCTACCCAGCCTCCCCCAGCCGATACTAAGCTCAGCCACAGCAGCCACACAGCAGAACTCCAGGAGTGGCCTTTGTAGTGTGGGAAGTACACCCCAAAAGGACAGCGCCAGAAACCTCAGAAAACAGTGCCAAGAGACTCAAGCCGGCCCTCCCCACCCTTAAGAAAACCAAGAAGCACCAGCTGAAAGGAAAACTCAGAGCAGCCGTGCTAATGGCTGCTAGTTTTGTAACAGTGTTGGAAGAAACATCCTTCTGGGTTCTGCTCCAAGTGGGGAAAAAGACACTGGAAACATGGAGACTGCTTGGAAAGATGGTTTAATGGTGGACAGGATCACATGGCTTGAGTTCCTGAACAGAAAAAGGGGCAGATACAGTAAATCCTCGGGTTTTTATGCTCTCTCTGGCTCTGCATTTCTTGGGGCCCAGAAAGAGTACTCTGATTGGTTGTCAGACTCCCAGGGGGTGGGGGTCTTGCTGGCTGATGGTCACATGTGCTTCCCAGGTCACATGTGGTGAGTTTCTGCTGCTATTGTGTAGAGGGCTAATCCTATCTTTGTTGGATCTTTGGCAATTCCTACTATGGCTCTGCCTGAAGGAGGTAGATCTTTGTTATGTAGAAGAGACTGGCCCAGGCCTTAACGGCCTATTAACAAAGGGTGGGGGGCAGGAAGGTGGGAACTGCTTTGTCTGTAAAATATGCTTCTCCATTTCTCATCCAGGGAAATATAATATTCTGCCTTTTTCATATTTCCTAAAATATTTGACTCTTCCAGGAAAGGGATGGGTGCTAACCTCCTACAACAGAAAAGTAACAGAAACACTTAAGTAGAGCCATTAAGATAAGGGGAATCAGGCTAAAAATAAACTCTCCAAGGTAAACCAAAACTCCTTTTTTCCTGCCCCTGACAGGATTAAACCAGGGGTAAACCGGTTGTGGCAGCGGGTGGTTTGGCAAACTGGTAGTGGCAGCAGTGCAAGGCTCCACCCACCCAGACATCATTACTTCCTGGTTTTAACCAGGAAGTAACCTGTTTTTGACACACATGTACTTCCGAACCAGTAGGGAAGGGAAGGTTCATCCCTGGATTTCAGGGATTTCATCCCTGGATTAAACCCCAAGGATAGGAATCAGAAAAGTTCTTGGAGCAAGATTAACCCAGTAAAAGAGGAAAACAAAACCCAGCGCAACTCAGAAACACATCAAAACCCATCAAGCTGACTTCCGGTTTTTGCTAGCTCCGGTGAAGACGGTGCCTTTTTAAGGACCGCCAGCCCCGCCGTTCGTAGAGCCGCTTCGATCGTGAGAAGCGGCTTGAAAACTCCAGAATCTGCAGGATTTGAAGGCGAGAGTAAGCAAGGCGCAGGTTGAGCCCCTGTGAGCCCCCAGAAGTTTGCTATTGGGGGGGAAACAGGCGCGGCTCCCTTTCAACTTGCGAAGACTCCGAGCGGCGTGGGACGACTCTGCCTCGCAGAGCAAGCCAGCAGCAGCAAACACGAAAATCGAATGAAACTAACTTTACCAACTAAAAAAAAACCTGAATCCTGAAACCAAGGAACTGCAAGTATTCTTTCTCTTTGTGATTTCCCGATTTTACTAAAAAATAACACGAGCGGAAGCGGCTTGAAAAGATGGCGCCGCTCCAGCGTTAACAAGTTAACAAGCTGAAAGGGAGAGTGATTTCCTAAAGCTATTCCAACAAGTTACATTGTTGCGCTGTTTGTAGCAAGCACAGGAGAAGAGGGGGGGGAAAAGGAAAAAATCCCTTTTTAAAACAAGTTGATTTTACAGTCTAATTCTACTTCTAATTTGCCTAAAACTGGGGGATTTTTTTAGAGGACTTTGTGGAGTTGGAAAAGGAAAAAGGATTTCTCTTTTTAGAAAATCTAACCTACGTGGCAAAATGGCTTCTAAAAAACAGGAAAGCAAGGCAGCAGGGGGGGGATCCCCCACACACAAGCCTGAAGAGCAGTTTGATTTTGAAAATTTAAAAAAATTCATTACTCAGGCTTTGGATGATAAATTTCAAAAATCTCAACAAGAAATTAAGCAGGAAATTAGTGAAGTGAAAAACTTGGTGAAAGAGAATTATGATAAGGTGACTGATAAATTATCAAATGTGGTTTCTGGCTTGTCAGAAATTATTATTAAAGTGGATTCTAAATTGGAAGAATTTAAATCAGAAGTGAATGTCAAAATAAAGGATACTGATTTTAAAATTGCTGATGTGGATAATAAAATGCAGAGAGTTGAAGACGAGATTACGATGATGCAATTCCGGTCCATGGAATTTGCTATAAGAATTAGAGGTATCAAGGAGAGTGACCGGCAAGACCTGAGACAGGTTTGTGCTGATGCCTTGGCTGTGTTGTTAAAAATTAATTCTGATGAGATTTTTTACAAAATAGACAAAATTTACAGAGTGAATTCATGGGTGGCCAGACAAAGACAATTACCAAGAGATGTGGTGATATATTTTACAGACAGAAGAATGAGAAATGATATTTTGCAAAAATCTTTTCTTTCCTCCGTGCAAGTGGAGGGAACTCAAGTTGGAATTTATAAAGAATTACCTCCAAAGATGCTGAAAGATAGAAAAGACTTTGGTTTTTTAGTAAAGGAATTAAATAAATTAGAGATTCCATTTCGGTGGGATGCCCCAATGGGTATAATTTTGAAGTATCATGGGGAAAGATATCGACTGAATACTGTTGAAAAAGCGGAACATTTTTACCATACTGTTTTTAAGGAGAGATCACCATCTCCACGTTCATCTACTGTATTGGAGATAAAGGAGAGTGATAAGGAGAAGCAACCCCAGCAAGAGTTGGAAGTGCAGCTTAAGCAGGCTGAATTAGACCCAATAGAAGCGCAGGGTGCTACAGGAGGTTTTCTGGAGGAGCCCCTGTTAGAATCCTCTCCAATTCTGACTACAAGAGATGTGGCCTTGGATCTAGCTCGTATGGCTGAAGCTAAAGACCAGCGAATAACTCGTGCGGTTTCAAAACAACTCAAAGAAAAACAATTGCAAGAAAGAGCTAAGGCACAACAATATAAAAAAGGAGCTAAGAGTACTACAGAACACAGTGAAGCCATGGGGAGAGCAAAGTCGGTGGCCTCGGAAGACATCCGGCAATTCTGCTTGTCACTTCAAAAAAGTATGCATGATGGTTAAGTTTTTGTCATGGAATGTGAATGGACTGAACTCACCACAGAAAAGAAAGAAAATATTTACATATTTGCAACAATTTAATAATGATATAATTTGTCTACAAGAAACTCATATCAGAACGCAAGATCAAAAATACTTGACAAACTCCAAATTAGGATCACACTTTATAGCTTCAAATTTGGAAAAAAAGAATGGTGTGGTTATTTATATAAACAAAAGATTATCAGCTAAAATTATAGAAGTGGATGAAGGTGGTAGGTTTGTAGCAATTGAACTGCATACTGTACATGGTCAAATTCTTGTGATTGGAATTTATGCTCCTAACCAACAACAGGATCACTTTTATAAAATTTTGCATACTAAAATATTGCAGTGGGATTATAGATCTATTTTGATTATGGGAGACTGGAATGGAATAATTGATCCTAAACTAGATAAAAAAAGTCTGGCGAAGTCTAGGATTAGACTACCACAAACTTTTTTTGACATGAAAGAAGATCTGGAATTAAAAGATGTTTGGAGAATACACAATTCAAAAGACTTGGACTATACTTTTTTTTCTGATAGACACAGATCCTTTTCAAGGATTGATTTTATTTTATTATCAAATGATTTACTTGTTAAAACAAAAAGAACTAAAATCTTTCCAAGAATTTTATCTGATCACAGTTCAGTATGGATAGAAATTGAGATTGGAAAAATTGAGAGAAGATCATGGAGATTAAATGAAAATTTATTTAGATATGAAAAAAATATAATAGAACTTAAGAAGCAGATGAAAGAATTTTTTGAAATTAATTTGAACAAGGGTACCCCTATTGAAATTGTCTGGGATGCAAGTAAAGCGTATATGAGAGGGGTACTCATTCATATGAATTCTAAACATAAACTGAATAGACAAAAGAAAAGATTAGAAATTGAAGCAGAAATAAAGAAAAAAGAACAGTTACTTATCAAAAATCCAGCAGATGAAAGAATACGTGGAGCTATAAAACTTTTGAAAGATCAATTCCAAATGCTTATGGCGGATCAAGTTGCAACAAACTTACAATATGCAAAGCATAATACATTCTGTAATGCCAACAAACCGGGCAGATGGCTGGCTTATACATTAAGGAAGAAACAGAGTATGCGGACTATTGACTGTATTGATATTGGAGGGAAAGAAATTCATCAACAAAAATTAATTAAAGAAGCTTTTGTAGATTATTATACTAAATTATATGCTAAAGATGATATACAGAATGGACTTATAGAAAAATATTTAGAAAATAAAAGAGTTACAAAAGTTACTAATCAACAAAAGGAAAGAATGAATCACCCTATAACAGTGGAGGAAATAATTGCAGCAATTAAACAACTGAAAACTGCCAAAGCTCCGGGAACAGATGGTTTGACTGCAGTGTATTATAAAACTTTGCAAGCAGAAATGGTGGAACA